CTTTTAATCACTTATAAAACCCAGGGCGGGAAGTTACTGACTCTCTTAGTTGCTGATTTTCAGTCTCGTCTTACCCTGCTTCGCTCAGGATCTGACATCCTATTGAACTTAAGCCTTAGAAAGAGATCAGCCCGAGGTAACTCAGTCTCTTTAGAGCGCTGATCGGCAGGTCTCTTTGATTATGCCGACGGCCAGCCTCAGAGAAGGTAGGCCTGGAAGTAAGAAAAAGTCAGCTATTTCTATTTCCCTTAACTATTTTCTTGGCAAAGTACTCTTTGCTTTTATCATTTTCTTTCAGACTACAAAAGTTGAACATCATATTTAAGATTAGATACTTAAGGAATTCTCAATTTACCGATTTACACAAAACGGTTTCATTTATTTTTTTAATTCTGCATGTTAAAACGAGCAACAATCATATCAATATAAAGAGCTTGGGATAAACCTATTATCTTATTCTTGCGATCTCGCATAAGCTTAATCCCTAGAATATGAGCTGCTTCTCCTAAGTCCTTCATATCATAATCCAATTCCCCCGGTGCCGGTGACTAATGGGCCTGATAATTAGAATCTTCTACTGGTGAGGCAAGCCACTGTAGAAGGAATCTAATCCTCGTCTTCCCCTGCTGTAATAAGAACCATGCATTAGCTTCTTTTTCTATTGTTGTTGTTACAGGCCGCTTCGTCAAGTCAGGAAGTTGCCAGTTTTCATTTGAATCACGTTCCCAAGCCCTTCCTTAGAATTCCTAGTCCCATGGAACTAACTGATGGAAAGAAGAGGCCTTATAATAGGGCCTCTGGGCCCAATATAACTTTATCGCTGGATTTCGCTCTCCCATTCTCCCAGGTATTTCTCTTATTTAATCCTTACTTACTGGATTTCTATTACCGCTCCTCATCCGGGAAGTCAGACTAATGCCTTAGATCGAAGAAGCTGACTGATGGACTAAATGCATATAAGGTAATCTGATCCTACACCCTGGGATTCAACGGCTCTAACCCTATTCTAGCTCCGGGCTTTCTCTTTCTTCTTCCTCCATAGTTGGGTGGAGAGAAACTCATTCTAATATTAATTAAATTCCGAAGCGAGAGATGCTAAAGTCGTCTAGCTTGATTTAGCAGTGGAATCCCAGAAGTTTGGATTCAAATGGCAAGTTATAAGATCCATAAGTTCATCACGTTCGAGTTGCTTCTGTCTTCGAGCAGTGACCTTTTATAGGACAAGGGATAATACAAAGTCTCCGTTATTCAGTAGTGTCCATGTCACTTTTTCTTCCCTTTTTCAAACGGCTAGTTTCTTGCCGTCCATATAGTCAATAAGCTGGTTATAAGGTAGGACAGGCAAAATAAGCTGTTTCAGTTTTTCCATCACTTATCCCTTCCTTACCAGAACAGTTTAGAAAAAGCGGAAAGGAGGATTATTAAAAGTTTCAACTCCATTAGATCTTAGGCGAGAAAATCTATGTTTATAGCTGATATTCACATGTTGACAATCTTTCTAGTCCTATCTCTTGACGGGAAGGAAAACGGTTAATCCCCTCTTGAGTCTCTTTCATCCCAAAAGTTAGGCATAAGGGCGAAATAAGCTTTGAGTTAATAACTTGCTTTCAGTTAACTACCATTAATGGGCACTATGGGCCTACGGGACCTTACAGGATTGGATTCTCGGGATAGCTTGATACCGATATAAGGCCTAAGGCCTATTCATTTCGGGCTATGCTCCCCATTTTTGACTTTTACTTTTTAGGAAAGCCCCGGTATAATTAGCGGGTATATAGTTCTAGGTCAAGCCACTCTCCTTTGGAATAAGCATTATCCAATATTGCTTTTGATCTTGGCCAATTCATTTTAAACATTAAAGTAACAAACTTAGCAAGTGAATTTAAAGACGTAAAGTTCCTTTTCTTTAGGAGCCAGTTACTCCGTTCCTTTTCTTGGTAGTCGTTACATACCATTTCAATTGCTCTGGGGTTGCTTTCGACTTGATTGAGTCTGCTTTGCTTTTCCGCGTAAATGAGAGTTATCTATTTTATTCTGCTTTTAGGTAAGTTAGTGTATTTACCTAGGAAGTTAATCCAGTTTGATCAAGCCTTTTGGTGATCCTGTTGGTTTTGGAAAGCAAGTTCACAATAGAATAGTTAAGATAGTTTTCCAAGCATCTATGAGTTAAGGAGTGACTAAGCAAGCCCTATTGCAGTCCTAAGATTTGATATCTCCTTTATTTAGCTTTCCACCCTAAACTAAAGGGCTTAGGCCTAGGTTCCTTCCTCCTCACATATGCATAGTTAGTACCAGGAAGAGGTTGAACTGAAGAAGTTTCCCTTGCGGGTCTGTCACTTCTGTCCTCTGCCTTGGTCGAGTATCTTCTTCTCCTCGTTCGACTTAGACTTTAGGCAAAAGTGGACGTCTTGATAAAGCCGATTTGGAATTAGGGATTCCTGTTAGACCTTAATCACCATTATCTGCGTAGATATGGACTTCAGCACTTCCAAAGAGACCGGACTTGCTAGGAGTTCCCTGCTACGACTTCTCATAGTGCCCTGGAACTTCGGATTATGTATGCCTTTTTACTTTACACGATTTCAATGGCATGAATTTGAGAAAGGAAGGGACCTTAGCCAGTCGTTAGACAGCTAGCTAGGAAGAGATCGAGAAAGCAGGACGAAAGCGAGAGCATCAGACATAAGCCACATTACTTTCTTTACTTACGGAATAGGGAAAAAGACAGATTCGGGACTGGAACTTCCAAAGGACATATCCAATCCCTGTAAAGCGATTGGGATAAAGCTAAATCGAATAGTAGTTGCCCTTGCTGTTGATTCCCGACCAGTAGGGTTTTTGTTACACCATGTGTGGTAACCCCTTTCCCCTTGGGAGCCTGTTGAAGTTGCCCCTATCTTTTTGGATCGGGTGGATAAACACCTTTCCCACTAGATTAACTTACTTGTTACTAGACGACTAAGCAATTCCTTAAAATAAAAATAAAAAAAAAAGAGGAAGGAATAAAAAAAAATTCTACTAAATTTGTGAGGCGGCCTTTCTTGTATTCTTGTATTAGATCCAAAGGTTTTTTCTTGACCTAACTACAAAGATGATGAATCGATTTCTTTTTCTTTTCTACTCTTGTCCTGCCGCTCTATTTTTGTGAATACCGTTTATAATGATTGATGAAGCAAAAAATTTCAATTGAACTTATTATTTCAATTGGTATTTTTGCTTATCCCCCTCTCGTTTAAAAATTGAAACTTAGGTAAGTGCTTTATAAACATATGTATAAAAAGAACATATTTCATTTAGCTCCTTCATGCCTACTATAACTAGTTATTTCGGTTTTTTACTAGCGGCTTTAACTATAACCTCAGCTTTATTTATTGGTCTGAGTAAGATACGACTTATTTGAAAATTAATTCAATGAACGAACAATTCATAAAAACAAAGCTTTCTGCCCTATTCCATATATTCTATAGCTCCTTACCGTGTTAATTATCAATTATTAGGTATTGATATTCATGGGCAATAGAAATTAATATTTAGGGATAGATATTACCTTTCTTTTTCTCCTTTCAAATAAATTGAAATGATTGAAGTTTTTCTATTTGGAATCGTCTTAGGTCTAATTCCTATTACTTTGGCTGGATTATTCGTAACCGCATATTTACAATACAGACGTGGTGATCAGTTGGACCTTTGATTAATTAACATACCCTTTTTTTGACTGACCCCTTTAATTCTTAAATTTTTTAATTTCAATTTATTTAATAATTTTAATTTAATAATTTAATCCAAGGAGGTCAAATTCGAATTGCTGTTCAATTTTTTTTTTTTCAGTTCGGTGTAATTTTCGACCTAACAAGAGCGGAATCACGCTCTGTAGGATTTGAACCTAAAATAGGAATACCTATTTTTATTACTATTCCATTTTATTTGTGTATTTCGCGTTTTCTCATCATAGTAGATGCAACTGTAAAGAAAAAATGATTCTTTTTGTACCCCCAATATATCATAGTCGGCTACCGACGTGTGGTCTTTAATCTTGCTTTTTGAAACTATAGTATGCTTGTTCGATAAGTCGTTCTTAGTTTTTATAATTTGGAATATTTAGAACTTAAAAGGCCAACTTCAATGGATGATTCTTGATTTGCATCGACTAACGAGTCAAGATAATTAAGTTATTTCATTTTTTATTTTTTTTCAAAAATATTTTTAAGATACAAATAAATCATGCTGTTAAGGGAAAATTTTTTGAATAATTAGTTTTATATAGCGTGTTTTTTATATTATTGATTATAATCTATATAAATATTACATTTAACTTTTTTTTTAATGAATAATAAATGAATATTTTTCGCGGGAATTCTCAGGCGGAAAGGGACCTATTTTGTTTTGCTGTTTTAAGAAAGGGAAAATCTTATCTATCGAATCATTGTACATTTAAATTTGAATTTTGAATTAGGAATTCCGGGTACAAATAGACAAATCCAAGTGGTCTTTAACCACACATACATGCGATTATATATGTATTACCATAATGTAATACGATAAAGAAGGAGGATTTTAAATGCGAGATCTAAAAACATATCTTTCCGTAGCACCGGTACTAAGTACTCTCTGGTTCGGTTCTTTAGCGGGTTTATTGATAGAGATCAATCGTTTCTTCCCGGATGCGTTAACATTCCCTTTTTTTTAATTCGAGTTATTGTCGCGGGACGGGGCGAAAAAGATTAGATCGAGATACAATCAAATATCTGTGACTACTCTCTCGCCCCCCCTTTTTTTTTTTTTTTAAGGAATTGCAGGAAAGTCGTTTCGGTAAACCAAACTTCTTTTTTTCCCTAATTTTCTCAATGAATAATTCCGACGATTCAAGAGAATTCCCGTGAAACTCTTTCATTTCATAGAAGTGAATTCTAATTCGTTACAAAGCAAATTAGCATTTCCGATTGATTTGTCCCCTGGACTGGAACCTATTTATTCTGATTCTGAATATCCGTCCTACGCTGTTTATCCGTCGCTACGCTGTTCCCAAGGACTAGCAAAATCGAAATAGCGAAATTCTTGGGTCATCTCAATGGGTTCAGAAACCACACGTTTCTCTGGATCATCATAGCGTACTTCCACATATCCACTCAGAGGAAAGTCTTTGCGTAATGGATGACCCTCGAAACCATAATCTGTTAATATACGGCGTAAATCCGGATGATTGATGAAAGAAACACCAAACATATCCCATACTTCTCGCTCCCACCAGCCGGCTGATGGAAATAGACTGACTACCGAAGATATTCGTGTTACTTCGTCTGCACTTGTTTGTACACGAATGCGTGAGTTATACCGAGTACTCAGTAAATTATAGACAACTTCAAATCTTCGTTTTCGAGAGGGATAATCAACTCCGCAAATATCGATCAAAACTTGAACCCTTGTATAGGTATGCCATTTTAGAAAGCACAACAATGGAAATAGGTAGTCAGTATTGGTATAAAATCTATTCCCATGTTCCGATCTTTTCATTTTATGTACCCATTTCTTGGGTAAAATCTCCCAACTATATTGGAAAATGAATTGGTTATCCATAAATGAAAATAAAGAAAGCTTGATTTTGGTTCCGCTTCTTGCTCTAAGCAGAAAGACTTGTCGGAAATCGCCGGTTGGGTTGGTCCAACCAAGAAAGGCATGGGAGTGGAGAGGCAAAAGTGAAAGACTGGCTACCAATAAAGATCCCTCACTGCACACTTTATATAGTTCTGTATCCAGGATCGGCTGCATGCTCTAGTGTTAAATCTGGTATAGAACCCAGGATGCTTGGTTGACCGACCCTACTTTATATCAGACTTAAACTCTTTATCCTAGTGAAGCGGGACTGAAGTGCAGACTTGACTGAAACTGGAATTGTAAATTATGTCTTTCCTTCCAATTAGTTTCGCTATTAGCGACTACGTACCTCGATTTATGAGGCCTAAGGCAATCTATTGTTGTGCTTTCTTGCCAGTTCGTTTTGCGTAGGCAGTTCCCTTGCTTTCTTCCCCAGGTTTCAGTTCAGTTCCAAGCCTTAGGTCTGTCAGGTACTTACCTTCACCTACGATTAGCGGGATAAGCGCCCTTTATTTGATTTGCCATACTCCTTCACTAATGCAGTCTATTGCCTCCTTGCTACCCCTTGTCCTCTTTCTCTGCTTGCCTATTCTTCACCCAGCTTGAAGGAAAAAAAGCCAACATATATATAATTGGGTTGGAATTCCTCTATAATTGAATTGCAAAATATATAAGACGTTCAATTAATTTCAGGGCAACGGCAAATAACACTAAATGACATTTCTTTACCATGGCTCATGTCTTCGGAGGCTCATGTTGGTGAATCGGTTAATATGACAAATTAGAGAATCGTTAAATGCTTCTTTGGAAAAGAACTCCTTGCCAATGGCTTGCTTCGAAAGACAATTCTCAGTCACTTTCAATCTCGAAAGACTGTCATCACTTCTTCCCTATTCCCGCTCTACGCCCACTCACCCCCGTTGACGAGAAGGGAAAGGAGGAACTGAGGCTCCAACCCCAGCCCATGTTTCCACCCAAAGTACATAAATATGCAGGCTTTAAGATTATATAAAAAGATGTCCCTACTTCTCTAAAACTAGAACATAATTTGTCTTATGGGGACAGAAAACGAACCTTCCTAAACAAAGACCATCGGCTTGAATAGTAATTTCCCATTCATATGAATAGTAAAAATTAAATTGTAAAAATTTTGAGAAATAACCATATACGCAAAAACAAAAACATGGGTAACAGGTACAAATGGTTGACTGATTTTTCAATGGTCGAAAGAAACCATTCGAGTCAAGGGTTAAAGAGTTTACCCAAGGTAGAGTGCAAGAAATATACATTTCGTGTTCCAACAAGATCAAAGCTTTTTAGCATCTGACGTGAGAAGCCCCATCTTTTCTGTTAGCTGATCCATGGGCTGAGTGTTCTCCCACCCATTATCCATTGGCTGCACATCATTTCCCTTCGTGTTACCATCAATGGGGCTTGATTCGATATCCTCTGGGACTGGACTTTGTACCAGTTCATCCCAGAAGCTAGAATTTTCCAGCAATATATCAATATCAGGATCAGGGGAAATATTATCAATTCCTAGTGAACTGAGATCCATAAATCCATCACCGACAGTTTCAGATTCCATATAGCTATTGCTGGGAATATCAACAACACTTTCTGGCACCATTTCTGGTATCTGAGGAAGTGCTGGCACCATGTCCACATCAGATTGATGAATAGAGATGGAGGGTGCATCTTGTGGTCCAACCAATGCATTTACATCTGCAAACTGAGAAGCTGTTAAATTTTCAGAACTAGCAGCAATGTGTGGGTTGGACTTCATATCTGATACGGAAGCTGAAGTTGCTGCTGGTACATATGTCGACTGCCCTGAAGTTGGAGGGACCTCTTGAAGAGTCACTCCTGATATACGGCTTGAAGAGCTCCCACTGTCCATTCCGTTGGATGATGGTGAGCCACTGCCAATCATGAAACCTTCAAGACCATTGCTGTAAGATTCCATCCTGGACGAAGCATCCATTTTCATGATTTGCCTGAACATGGCTTTCGCCGCATCATTAATCGAAGGCTGGTATTTCACAATCTGGCCATCGGGGGCATTGGAACTCTCATTCTCAGAAACACCATCTTGCTTGAGCCTCCGTTTTTTGTTAGCTTCTGTTATGCGCCTGTTGCTATCATTTTGCTGCTGTACAAATTGAGCCAAGAAGCCAGGGCTCTGCATAGCCTTTGCCAGGAATGACATCATCTGTTGCTGCCGCTGCTCCATTCCTTGAAGTCGCTGCACCATGGTTTGCAATTGGCTATCAGTAGTCTGTTGCTGCTGCCTCAACCTAACAAGTTCTTGCATAAGGACATTCTTGTCCCTCTTAAGCCTCTCAACCTCTTCCTCCAGCCCAAATTTCCCAACCTCAACACAGGCACCCACAGATGAGCTCTGTCCGTGTGGTTGTTGTGTCTGTTGATGACTATGTCCATGAGCAGGTTTTCGTCGACTTATACTCCTAAGCAGGTGCTTTTGACCCCTCAAGAATCCCTCGTTGGCGAATTCCCAGCGGTCTGGATCAACTTTCCGGAAACCCTGTTGCATAATAGAGTCATGCAAAAAAATCAATACATGGCAGAACTTTAATTAACTATACAAATCATCAGCGTGCTTAAATAAATAGTGTAATCACTCTTGGACCATGCAATTTTGCAATGCTTGAACCTGATACACGCAGGAAAGTTTTCGATGAATAAGAAAAATCTGCTGAGGTTATGAAAAAATGGCAATGTAAAGACAAATTAGGGTGTGGCACTTCACATTTGAGGCTTTCACAAAATATTACACTTAATTTACTGTATTATCATTAATAACGAAGTAAATATGTGTGATCCTCCGCAAGTTCTCCCCTATTATACTGATTCTAGGGGATCCGTTGAGTTCTTACACTTTCATGTCCAAACTTCCACGGTTAGATAATCAGATCTTAGGGATGTTAAAGATAATAAGAACCCTACCTACTCCAAGGTAATTCCTGTGTTCATACAACCATTGCCTAAAAGGATTACCAAAGTAAAGAACAAATCATGCATATTGACATTCAGTCTCTTTGAAATTCCTTCCACTTGCACCTTAGAATTAGTAAATTACCACTCAAAGCATCACCTGTCTAACCACCAACAGAGCTTGAGGAGCTAAACATGATAAAGAATAGCATTGCAATTTTCAAGCTGAAAGAAGTTGCATTATCTGTGATGGTTCAGGTACTACCTTTGAATGACAACTTTCTGTTCACTCGTGGGATCCGGGTGGTCCAATGGGGAAAAGGCAATCTAGTAAGAAGCAGACTTCTACCCTCTCTTTTTTTTTTTTCTGGTCTTTCTCTTATTTGTACATATTTTTTAAATTCTCTAGTCTCTGCTACATAATGACACTGAAGGTAGGGATCAGTGGATAAAGGAACAATGACATTGACATAAAGAAATGGAACCCCAGTCCCCATATAAATTCAGTTTGAAGATTCCAAAGAAAATTTCCTCCAGCATGGCTTACCATGACTCACTTGCAAGAAACTACAGACTAACATTACTTGCAAATCAACATCCGAACTGTCAGTTAATTATAAATTTGGCGTCCGAACTTTTCAAAGTTCTCTATTTTGGTGTCTGAACAGAAAATTTTTGCAAAGTGTTGGAACCACAAAAATTTTTGCAATCAAGTAATCAAATGTCCACATGGCTAGCCAGGAATGCCACTAGGATGTAAAGGTCCCAAAATATAGTCTAAAATTTGCTGAAATAGCTAAAACACATTGCCTACATAAAGCAAATTACTGTTATGCCCTTTTTTAAACCCAAATTACATAAAGTTTATTTTCCCAACTCTCTCAGATTCTTTTAACATTTTTTGCCCTCTCTCTTTATGCTGTTGACTACACAACTCCATAACCTTCATTATCACCACGTATGAACACTAACCAAACCATCACCACTGCTTGAGCTCATCGTTAAGTTTAGTTGCAGAAGGATCTCAACTGCTCATCTTCTCAATGGAGGAACGGCAGCCCAGCTTTGACAACTCAGGCAGGTGCAGCAGTGGTAATGATGATGGAAAAGCCCTTTCTTTCAACTATGGTTTGAAAAGTTCGAGAAGCAAAAATGGTGAGGCCAGCTCAAGATCTGCGGCTGTTGTCAAGTCTATCAAGAGATTTCATCGCGTAGACAAGGGGATATTGAATGAAGAATCTAGAGCCATTGAATAAGGTTCATTTACAAAACCTAGCATGAAAATTTTATCGCAGAACACAAGCAAATAGAAAATAACACACACAAAATCAGATTAATAATGGAAACTCGATTGGTTGTGTATAAGACTCGTTAGTATTGGTTTTTCTTGGTTTGGGTTCAGCCAACAGTACTTCCTCAAGATTTGATAGGTAGGCCTTCTCCATTCCACCCTTGAGCTATAAGAATTTGAGACTTATCTTCCTCTTTAATATAGTGCATGTGCATCTGTCGCAAATACTAAATAATCAAATATTTTTCTGCTTTCTTTTGAGAAAAAAAATGATAAATTGGGAATGCATAGAGGAATGAAAGGAATAAAGCAAGCCCCTGCACATGTGCATTTGATTGATTGGGTTTTCCTATAACCAACTAGGAATAGAATGATGTAGCAACTAGCAAACAAATTATTACTTGTTGGCTTTATCGAAAGTGATAAAGAGTTAGAATGTATAGGGGAAACTAAACCCTAGGTAATTTGGGGTAACAAAAAGGGCATAAGAGCAATTTCCTAATGCTAGGTAATGACTTCAGCCATCTCAGCATATTTTACACTATTGTGGGCCCTTCCCGTCCAAGTGACATTTTCAGCAAGCCACACAAGAATAGACACTTGATTGGAAATTTGCAATGGTTCAAATACTTGATTATAAGAAATATGCACAAAGACAAACATATAAACTACACAAATAAGTAAAATACCATATTCTTGTTTGGTTAGCCTTACGGAGAACGTCAAGGTATAGAATGGTGAAAATGGAAAACATTAGGCTTTCTGACTTTCAATATGAGGCACAGACCTGGAAGACGTAGAGTGACAACATGGGATTTGATGAAGACACTTTGGAAAGGAATACTCTTTTGGGCAGATACCATACTCTCTTTCTAAAGTTCGATGAACATAAACAAGCAGATCATTGTACTGAAAGAATTCAAAGAGGAATCATGTTAAGGATATAAAGCTTGATTCGTTTTGCAGATAGAATTTCAAGTTGAAATGGCAGATAAAGAAGGAGAATAAAAGCAGAAGAGGAAGAAATTAAATTCGGTATCCCCTTGTCTACAGTGACAAATTCTCTGCCTGTCTCACATGGTGACACTCTTTCACTAGAAATAATAGCAATAATCAAAAATTCTTCAGTTAGGGTTAACATAAAACAGTAACAAATGGTGGCAAAGTTCCTCCAGCGTGTGTGCAGTCAGAGATGCTATAGACAAGAATAAGTATTCCAAAGACAACTGCGACATTCTAGGCCTGTTGGCAAGACAGGGGTTCTGTTATTGTACCGAGAAGTTGTTATAGTGACACCTCAAGTTAGATTAGGACAAACATGATCTTTTGCATTTGTAGGCAGTATGATATTCAAGAATAAATGATAGCTGCTTTTAATTCAGCTTTGTTATTCAACAACAAAAAAAAAAAAAGAATAAAAAAAAAAAACATTTTATGCTACTTCAAGCTTGCATGACACACAATTCAACCTTCAGCATGACGTCTAAGAACATGTAGGAGTGAAGCCTAGACACCCTTCTATTTTACTATTCAAGTTGCTGTTAATGGGTAATGTTTGGCGACAATGCTCACAGTATCTTAACAGTCCAAAATCCCACTTTCTTGTTAGTTTGATCTTTGCCACTTTTAGCCTATTCCCATATCCTAAGTATTCCCTTACATGTCTACCCATCTATTTATCTAATGAACCCAAAATTAACCTAAAATTCAGCATTAAAATCAGCCCCTCAAGCTGTCCTACATCATAGAATCACTACCATTCTTGAAAACCTCCAGAGATAAAAATACAGAGACTTGATGGATAAAAATCAGGAATGAACAGGATAATTCCTTTCTCATAAGAACAGAGCTCAAGCAAACATGAAAGGCTGAAGAACTTTTTCTCGGATCACAAAAACCTAAAACCTTTATTAGCCCTATACAATGAACTCAATCACTGTTACAGCGTGATGATACAAGTGAAATATAAACATCCAGCAATTTTAATTCAACATAAAATGCAGCTACACAGGAAGGAAAGTAAATTTATGTTGATACATCATACTCTTGAGCCTTACCATTTTGGACAGAGTAAAATTGAAGACACATACCAGAGGCTGACATGCATGTCACATAAAAACATGTACGAAATCTATACCACAGCCACAGTTCTTACAAACAAGTAATTAAAGAAAATGCTGATGCATGATAAAAATATGATTAAATCAATCCCTTATTCACAAAATCTGCTAGTAATGTGTCAGTAATGGCCCAATTTGCATGGAGGAATGAAAGCACATAAATCTTATTCCTTTCTTTACCAAGTAACATTGTTTGCAGTGAATACAACATGCCCAATGCTTAATTAATTAGACTTCATTTATTATTAGAGACAAAATACCCTTAGAGCACGTAATTACTATTGATCTTTTATGAATTGGATAAAAACTAAAATAACTGTAAGAAAGACTCCAACAAAAAGTTCTATTAACTATTCTATTAACTAATAATTCATATTAAGTACATCGTGCTGTGAGAGCACGTAATTCACAAGCTGCAGGGAGAGACTTGTATCACACAAATAAAGATTAAAGCCACTATTGGATCAAGATGACAAATGCGTCATAGGATTAAGATAAATGCATGCACACATGCATTTATCCCATCAAATCCATATTCTAAAAATAGTAATGGAGCAGAACAGGCATTAATAGATCTCCAAAATTTGTTCAACCAAATTTAGAATACGAAGAATTGGTTCTCCTACGATTCTTCCACAAACAACAATTACTAAGCCTGAGATTCTTCCACATGCAGCTAAATTAATTACTACGCCTATACTCTTTAAACAGCATGTGATGAATTAACTTCAACTTCAGTCACTCTAATTTGTAAAAGATAATAGAATTCAAAAACCAAAATCATTAATTAACCTTGTAATCAGGTATGATCAATCTGAGATAAGCTTTCTTTTCCTTTTTCCCATCTCTGCTTCATTTGGTTGCTGAGAAAAGGCATGAAGAAGACAAATTAAAACTTTTTAGTTGTGAAATGACCATTGTTTGGGGATAAAACTAAGAAATCAAATATCACCAATCATCTGACTTCAGTGAGGTAAGCACAAAATTCTTAAACTAACTAGGGATGGCAAAACCAACCAGACCCAATGGGTATGCACCAGATCTGAACCCATTTAAGGGTTTTGACTGGGTATGGATAGGGTTTGGGTAATACACGAAAGATTTATTTTCGGTATGAGTAATGGGTATTGCTATTATAAACCCGAACCCAAACCCTTACCCGTGCCCAAAATTCAAAATCCCCAAGAGATTTAAAATTTTTTTTTGTTTACTTTTATTATAATGTAGTGTAGTCCAAGATGACTTCACTCTGATTTAAATTCTAATTTCACAAATAAGAAAGAAAAATAATGGTGATTTGGAGCATTTAGATAATAATATTTTTACGTTTAGTGATTTTGTCATATGAGTTTCTTAGTTATTCTATTAATTGACTTTTATAATTGTTGATAGAGATTATATTGTAATTGTATTTCTTGTATCTCATCAATCGATTACATAGGTCTATATATAAAGAATTCCTATGCTACCTAGCTATTTAGGAAGCTATTTAGGAATACAAATCATAAACTAATTAGGAATCTAACCCTAATAGAAACTCTATTATTTATAACTAATAAGCCTTAACACTCCCCCTCAAGTTGAGCATAGGATATTAATCATGCTCTCTAACTTGTTAACACTACTACTGTTCAGCCGCACAATACCTACTCAGCACCTGTACCCACTTCATTATAGCATAAATATAGAATCCAAAACCAAATACGCAGTAGAGAATTCAGGACAAACTTGGTTGTCGAAACAAATCCTCACTGAAAACCAGAAAACAACTCACAGGGCTGTTTCAAGCTTCCATAGATCCAATAACTCAAGAGGAAGCCAGTAGCGCAGATAATTCAGAAACGCAGTAGGAAAAATCTGGCACAGAGGCACACCCTGAAGGCCAAGAACACAATGCCACTCACTGGGGGTTGCACTACTCTTTGACAATGGGGAGTAGTTCAAAAGCAGAATCCTGTTTTAACTGCAAGCAATGTGCAATACTAAAACCCTAATGCAAAAAAGGAATCACTAAAAATCACAGAAAAATTACCTAATTGTTCATAGCAAAGGAAAAATAATGTTTCCTTAGCAATTACAGCAACAACAGTAGGCAGAGGACTGCCCGACACAGCTTGCACATAGAATTCGCAGCAAAAATCTATTGAATAAGCCCAAGAATGACCGATGCAACTCACTGGGTTGGCACGTCTCTCTTCAAGCCAGACGTCGGAGAGAGGAACGCGGAGTGAAAAAGACCATTGACATGCGCCAGCCGCGTGAAACAGAGCCAGAAGAAAGAGGTGGCGAGTGGTGGCCATTTCGCTTGGAATCCGGCGACGCGGATTCCGAGAGTCGCTAATTTGCGCTGAGAATATCCTAGGGTGGGCAATGAAGCAATAACTAACCCTAGAAAGGCTTCCTAGGGTGGACAGTGAGCTTCTCATAAGGAAGTTGCGGGAAATTTCCTCTCTTTTTTTTTTTTTTTCTTTCTTCAATGGAAGGACTCTGATACCATGTGATCAGAGGATTAATATGTAATTGTTAAATTTCTTGTATTCAATCAATCGATTACATAGGTTTCTATATATAAGAATTTCCTATCAGCTAACCTAAGCTATTTAGCGATTACATAGGTCTATATATAAAGAATTCCTATGCTACCTAGCTATTTAGGAATACAAATCATAAACTAATTAGGAATCTAACCCCTAATAGAACTCTATTTATAACTAATCCTTAACAATAATATTAAACTTTTATTATATTCACATTTAACAGAGTTTATTACTATTACACTTGAGTGAAGTATTATCATAAATTTTGTTATACAAGTTTCTTAGTTATTCTATTAATTGATTTTTGTTATATTTACATTTAACAGAGTCTATTACTATTACACTTGAGTGACGAATTATGATAAAAAAAACAACTTTGTAATTAAAGTTTTAATATATCATGGTTCAAACATTTATTTATGTCTAAATTTATTTACATGTTTTGTAATGTTCTATAAATGATTTGGATAAATTCCTTTTTTTTTTAATTCAATATAATCCAATTTAAATAATATGAAGCTATGGATAATGGTATTAATGGCTAATGGATACCCATAGGCACCCGTAAGTATACCCAAATCCATTGGGTTTAGGGATGGATATAACATTCCCTACCTGATAGAGTACCGGGTATGATATGGGGGTTAGAGATGGGATAGGGTTTAGGTATAGGTATTGTACTACCTGACCCGAACCCTATCCATAATCATCCCTACTACCTAAGAACATATGAAGAAATGAGATCCCAAAATACTCGCAAACTCCCATTCTTAGAAGTACAAATCTATTCTTTCTACCAAGTTCTAACGACCACAGGAATTCCTTTCCTAACTCAAAATCACAAAAACTTTAGAGATGGAGCACGCTATCATTCACATCACCATGTCATCAATGAAAGGGCAAATTAACCATACTCACAGATCACACCCACAATGAATAGATACAGCATCTCCATTTTTTTTTCAGTCCTAAAATAAATCGTTCTATTGACAATGAAAACAGACCAACTTGAGTGACTGATGTCTTAGATTTCAACCACTAATTCCGATGACCCCTTATCGGGTCCTTAATTTTCCCAACAACCAAATAAGGAAGACTGTCTAATGATCTAATCATAATTCACCGTGATGCGGCAAACCATTTCAGGGTTGGAGTAAGCCCATATGCCTGGATAACTTATTAGTCAGTAACTAACAGATTTTGTTTGCACCTTATTCCACAACAGCCTCCAAACATTAGAAAAAGACCCCAGAAAACCAACTACAATCAGCAGTACACATTTACAATTAAAATACAGGTTAAAGAAAAAGGATAGGCCCAACTCAACTCCCACTATCTAAACTAAGGAAAACTCACTCAAATTCACTCCTCTGGGGATCCCAACATAGGATCAAAAAATTAATTTTCTTTCTTTCTTTCTTTATTCTATTAATATTCTCAAGGACTAGCAGTTGAGTTTCACATGGTAACACAATTATACAAATCTAATCCAAATATCCAGTTGTTCTCTAAACCAAAACCTGTCAATTGCTGTAACCTATGCAGTTATGACTCCAAAACCGTTTCTGTAATTCACCCCCTACCCGAAGTAATTTCTTTACTCCCAAACCTTACCACTTCTTTACTCCCAAACCTTACCAGCAACCAAGAAATGAAATTTTTTGTGACAAAATCCAAAATCTAGTTATAAAACAAATTGAAATCTGGAATAAGCACAACTCTAGTAAATCCGTAAGACAAACAATATCCGTAAGAGCAAGCAAAACTATTAACAAACTCGAAACATAATTCATCATCTCCATAAGTTAACAAAGGTGAGACAAAATGAAACAACATTACAAAATAAACTAACTCCAAGGTAGTATAAAATGCAAATAAAAGCAATGCAAGGGAAACTTAAATATAAATAAATAAAAGAGAGAGAGCAACATCTAAAAATCCATACATAGGTGTTGAGTTGCCTGACGAAGCTGGAGAAGTTATTGTGCTTAAAGTACTTGGGTAGAAGGTCACGCGCAAATTCAGGCGGGTTCCAAACCACGAAGCTATTGTTCGTCGGGCTCCACGACACGATCGCGTCCGTTGCAGGATCGTCCACCATGTCGTAAGTCTTGCTTAGAAACGGCGGCGGGGCATTTGCCTGCGTTGAAATTGGCACTGGGGCAGGCGTTTGTGGTCCACCAACGCCAACGCCGCTAGTAGAAGCATCCCCACTACCTCCACCACCTCCTCCGTTGCTTATCGTTCCATCCATTGTCATTCTATTTACTACCAATACTACGAAAAGATTGCTGTTAATGGATAACCAACAAAAAAACTAGGGTTTTGCAAAGTAAGACATTAGTGAGGACATAAACCCTAGATTGAAGACGCAGAAAGAGAGATTGTAGAGAGAAATGGGGGAGACAGGTGGTTTACACGGTCGCGGGAGAGAGAAATAAGAAGAGAGAAGAGAAGGGAATTTAATTGGGCAGATGCGACGGAGGGAAAACGGCACGAGTCGGTTGCTCCCTCTTTGGAAGGAGAGGATTATTGTTATTGATATGATAGTTGAAATTACTTAATCACCCATGCATGCCCATGCGGCATCCAACCCTCGCTGAATCAGGCCATGTCACGATATTTTTTTATAGGAGTTTATTTATATGCTCCTTATTTATATTTGTTTAATTTTTTTATTTATATAATATTAAAATATAAATTTTTATTTAAATTAAACAATTAAATTATATTACATTTTATGTATATAGTAAATATTTTTTTAATTCTATATCAATATATTGATTCATAAAGTTTTTATTATACGTTAATTACTTTTTTTTAAAAAAAAATTAAATTAATTTATAAAAATCATCATATAGCGTCTATTATATATTTTATAATTAATTTAGATGTCTTATTAATAACTTTTACTGTAATCTCCTATAGTAAATAAATATACGTTAACAATGGAATAAGAAAGCAATCTAATAAATCAAATTTTATTTAATAATTTTTAAAACTGTAATGTCTCCCTATAGTAAATTAAATGATAACGTTTACAAATCGGAACTAGAGAAAGCAAAGTCTAAATAAGATAAATTAATATTTTAAATAATAATATTTTATTTTTATTTTTTTAATCCCAATCAAAATCATGAAAACAATTTAAAAAAATTATTAGTAAAATTATATTCTTTAATAAAAGTAGAATTTGAATCTTATATAAATGACAAATATAACTAATTAAATCAAGCGAATAATTTCTAAAAGATATGAATTTTTTATCCTGTTACTTGTTTTTTGTCAACCAACATTTAGAATTGCATATTTGGTATTAAGAGAAATTCAACCATACCTTTTTAAATTTTCAAATCTAAATTATCTAGATATATCTTCATGTTAAGCTAAATAAAAATATAAAATGTAAAAATTTTCAAAACCTAATTTACATATATTAATTTAAAATAAATAGTGTTGAGTTAATTATATAATTTTAACGACAATTAATTGATTGTATTAAAAGTTATTTACAAAGTTATTATTAATAATTTTTCATAATTAATATAATGAATAAAATATAATTAGAACCACAATAAGAATAATAATAAAATAATTTAAAATTTAAATGCTTAATTATCCTGTAATTTATTTGATCTATTAATAATAAGTAAAAAAAAAAAACATGCCAAAATTATAGAAATTTTATATATAGTTTTAAGTATAAATTTTTTAATTGGTTATATTAATAATTTTCATAATAATATAATGAATAAAATATAATTAGACACAATAAGATAATAATAATAATAATTTAAAATTTTAAAATGCTTAATTACCTGTATTTATTTTATCTATTAAAAAAGTAAAAAAAAAACATCCAAATAAATTATAGAAATTTTATATATATTTTTAAGTTAAAATTTTTTAATTGGTTAAAATTAAGGTTATTTTATGATATCTTAAATTTCACAAGGACAATATCAGTTATCTCATGTAGAAAGATAAAAAGCATGGAAGAAGGAGAATAGCCAAGAAGAATACCTCAATGGTTCGCCTGTAGCCAACCTTCAAGTGCACTCCACGGATGCACTAGTCCATGCCATAATAAAGATATGACAAGGCAGCAGCTCCCCAGTTAAATTGCCTAGTCACATCTAAGTCCTGCAGCAGTGGTAGCAGCGCTAGATCCTCGTCGTTACCATGATTTGTGAATAAGGTAGTCGACAGCAAATAGAACAAATAAGCTCACGCTACATCTACATCTATCTCAGTGACACGGTCCTGAGGCATATCTCGTAATGAGAGATAATACTCTTATAACGCACCTTCTGGTCAGAGATGGTAGGCTCCATGCCTATCGCAGCTTGGAGACTCTTCCGTAAGCCCGGTCGATCTAAAGTCCTCAACTGGTCGTTAAAAATGACGAATTGTCCTCCAAAAGGGAGCCTAGAGATGGCAGTAAAATCCACTGGCGTGATCTTCATCTCATCGAACGGTAGATGGAAAGTATGGGTGGTATCCATCCACCGTTCCATGAGCGCCATAATGTTGCTAGGACAGTCCGCCCCTGCATCCGAGGTAGTGTGTCAACAAAACGGTCGAATCTTGCCTCCCGGACTTGATCCTGAACTCGAGCCAACAACCAGTCAAACCACTCGCCCGCCGCGTAGGTGTTACCGCCGGACTTCCCCCGCTTCTCGCTCTTCTATAAAAATAAACCACTGTAAGTATGCTAATAAAGCACGAAGGTGCGTGTTTGAATTTTTTTAATGCATGTAAACAAGAAAACTGAGGAAAAATGATGAAAAATACCAAAAAGATGGTGTTTCATAGTTATTGTGGCGCTACCCACTAAGTAGTGGCACAAGGAACTACCTTAGTGGCGTACGCCACTAGTGCTGTGGAGTACGCCACATATCTACAGCAAAAGCCAAACATGTACAGAAGTGGCACAGACCACACGTAATGGCACACGCCACAATGGCACACCATAGCCCAAAACGCTTAAAATTTGCCCGAAAAATAAAATCTAACTCGCTTGGTTTCCAACCTAATGTTTGCATGTTTCTAGTCCTAATAATGGAGGAAAAAAGCAATAAAAGCTCTCGGAATACCTGGATCAAGCCCCAGCAAACGTGGGTCGACAAATCATACCAGAGGCTAATCACAGTCCCTGCGTCCGGAATAAACTCTTAAAGCTTCATTCTGTGGCTCACGGGTCGAGTCACAGGGTCAATCACAACATCACCTGGAAGCCAATCTATAACGTTTCTAGCAGCCATAAGTTTCGATTGCGAAAAAGAGAGAAAAGAAGAAAAGAGAGAGATGAAGTTTAAAAGTTAGGTTGAAAGTGACAAATGAATGTCATTTTCACCTTATATAAAGAATAATGGGCCCATAGGCCCGACTTTAGCCTTTGGCTCAGTTCGGCCCAAAGGCCCATTTACTGCGTCCAGCTCTCGTACTTAGCCGGTAACCCATCAACGGCTAGCCGCCTAAGTAGGGGCAACACACTGCTGGCCACAGGTAAGTCACACAGACACATACAAATTCACTTGAATTCACATTCACACACAAATACACATAAGTTTACGCAAAATCATGTATCACACGAACACGCCTTTTCAAGTCTAATCACGAAATTTTCAAATACTAACCACTAGCCAAAGGCCTGTTTCCTGTTAGAAAACCTGTCTTTCTAGGTACTTCCCGAAGCAGAGCATTCTAGCACAAAGTTGTCTCGAGTGGCACACTATAAGCCATCTCATGTGGCATAGAGTAAGTCTCCTGAGGCAGGTCATCTAAGCCATCCCGAGTGGCACACCTAAGCCGTCCTGAGTGGCGCACTCTAAGCCATCCCGTGTGGCACGCCGTAAGTCCCCTGAGGCAGGTCATCTAAGCCGTCCCGCGTGGCGTACCGTAAGTCCCCTGAGGCCGGTCATCTAAGCCGTCCCGCGTGGCGTGCCGTAAGTCCCCTAAGGCGGGTCATCTAAGCAGTCTCGTGTAGCGCGCCATAAGTCCTCTTAGGTAGGTCATCTAAGCCGTCTTGAGTGACGCACCACCTAAGCTGTCCTCTATGGCGGGCTGTAAGTTCCCTAAGGCAGGTCATCTAAGTCATCCAGTGTGGCACATTGTAAGTCCCTCGAGGCAAGTTTTTAAAGTCCCCCTAGGCACCGTCCTGCAGTGGAGCATTCTCAAATTAAAGCTGCCAACTGGCGCAATCAGCTGTAGAAGCTGTCAACAACCACCATGACGCAACTCATCTGCCCAACAAAATGCTGTAATGGTACCGTAAGTCCCCCGAGGCAAATTTTCAAAGTCCCCTTGGGCACCGTTCGAAGGACAACCTCTTGCAGTGGAGCATTCTCAAATCAAAGCTGCCAACTGGTGCAATCAGTCGCAGAAGTCGTCAACAACCACCATGACATAACTCATCTAGCCAACAAATGTCATAATGGTACCATAAGTCCCCCGAGGCAGGTTTGCAAAGTCCACATGGGCATCATCCATTGGAAAACTTCCCACAATGGAGCATTCTCAAATTAAAGCACCAACTCACGCAATCAGTCGCAGAAGTCGCCGATAATAACCATGGTGCAATTTGTTCACCTGTCAATCGTCATAATGGCAATCCACATCAACGAAGCTGCCAAGATGGTGCACTTCATCCACTTAAGCTGTGCATGTCACGCAGATCAGGCAAGTATTTTCTTACTTACGCGTCTACTTTTATACTTTGATGATAACTGTTGACGCTCAAATTTTGTCCCTAAAAGGTTAGATGATGATACACCATTTTTGTTATAAAATTGAATTAGGACTCTCGATTGCTCTGATTTTTAGATTAATGGTCCATGGTTGAGATTATCTACATCTTTAATCATTTTTTATTTTTTCAGGTTACCGGGCGTTTCGTGACGAAATCGGACTCGAGAAGCATGTTCGGCCCGCCTGACACACTTTTCGATGCATCGCCTCATGTCATGTGCCACCCGATCTATTTTAATAAAAGTGGATCTAGCCCCGTTGCGGGGCCAGACAGTGGCAGTTTTGCATCATCATTCTAAATGGGGTCACCTCACCCTTAAATGCCTATAAATATGCATTGTGGGGTGAGCCAAAGGAGGAGATCTTTGGATTGCTTAACAAAACTCTTGCAAATTTTTCCCTCAAAACTCCCTTAACCTAAATTTATAACAAGTTTTATTGATTAAGATTAAGAGAGAATAGTTTTCTTAAAGAATCTCATTAAGTTTGCAATCAATCTCTCTAAAAAACACTTATTTTAATCTTGAATCTCGGACTATTGGATCAAGATTAAAGAGGAGGGAAAAGAGAGAATAGTTTTCTTAAAGAATCTCATTAAGTTTGCAATCAATCTCTCTAAAAAACACTTATTTTAATCTTGAATCTCGGACTATTGGATCAAGAGCCTAGTTTTTGGATTTCTTCATCCATTTTTGAATCAATCTTCAAAGGAATCAACAAAGGTAGTTTCTAAGAACCTTAAACTCATTTCTCCGTCTTTTTCTT